GCACTCCACTATTTTAAGAGAACTGGCATAAATGAGAATCTCACAGAAATGAGTGAGCCAAGGGCACTAATGCTGACAGAGAACAAGACAAGTTGGGTGATGGTAGAGGTGTTCATGTTCATTTCGTAGTCCAACATCCATGACTGAAACAAATGGTCAACAGAAGTTACAGTAAAAAACAAATATGGATCAATTGAGTTTCTTCCCCCTTTTCTATAGTACAAAAATTTTGTTTTGCAAAATTCTGTTTAGCAGTTTCAAAATATTGTTAAATGTACATAAATAAGGAAATACATTCAAAATCATTTTCCACTGCCATAAAGAATATAAGTAACAGTTCTGTAAAGCCATATTGATTCAACATATCCAACTGGACTTCTAGTATAAAACTAAATAAAACAACTCAGATTTTATTTTCCCCTGGTTCACATACTGTCAAAGAAAAGTGAGTAGAATATCCCCAAATTGTGCCTGAATGGTCATATACTTCCCTCACCTAATGGTTCTATATACTTATATAATAGCATCGCTTCCTTCTCATCCAATTTAATACAACAGTCCATCTCCCCCTCTCACAGGTCTCGTTCTCTTAACTCTGTCTAGTTTTTATATTTTCCATAATTAACTGAAAAAATTGATAATATCCTTCTTTATTCTGTTGATTATTCATTGTCTCCTCTTGCTAGAATGAGGGCTTCATGAGGGCAGGCATCACTGCCGTTTCTTCACTAACATATCCCATGTCCAAAACTGAGACTGACACATAGCAGGCACACAGTTCACACTTGTTTACTGAAGAAATGCCACTTGTCTATTTCTTCTCTGTTTTGCTACTAAATTGTAAATTCCTTAAGGACAGGAACCATGTCTAAGTTGTCATAATATTCCAGCACACAGCAAGCATTAACGATGTTGGATGAATTGAGAAAGGAATGAAGACTAGCCCTTGACCTCCCGAAGCTGGTCTGGCTCTCAAGTTAGCCATGCTATCCTCCAATTAGACACAAACAACCTCACGGAATACCAACCTCAAACAAGGTTACTCTGAGGCCACGGTCAAATGAGACGAACAACTTCATAATTTTGTCCAAGTGCAGACAAAATCAAGGTCACTGTTTCACCTATAAATACCAAACAGCCTCCTCTCTTGACCAAAAGGAGTGATGGCTACTTCTTGACCAATTTACAGTTGTAGTCTCATTTAGGTCTCCCTCCCTCTATGTAGGAGTTATTGAGACATTATCCATCTAGAGAAAACCTCTACTTCCTTAGACTCTCCTGTGACTCAAACTAATCCCACAATTGGTTCTTTTCAATACCCTCTTACTGGGACACCCCCTTCCCCCCCCAAGGTGTGTGTTCTCGTGTAACACAATAAGAAATAAGAAATAAGCAATGTGTTTAACTCCTGGTATGTGTGGGGTGGCCTCTGCCTGAAGATCATTGACAGAATAAATGAAGTACTTAATTGATGCAAGCATTTCATAAATTAACTGTCTAGGGATTCCTTAATATCTTGAACTTTACAACACCCCAAGGCCATGAGAAGGAAAGCAGTTTCACCTTCCCGCTTCTCCAGCAAAGGAGCAAAGGAGGCATTCTCCCAGCTCCAGGTAAACCTCAGGAGACTTCCTTCAGTGGGATTTCATCTTCTAAAAGTAAACCCATAAGTCAGGGATGTGGGATGCGAAAGCCTTATGAATCATTTTTAAATTATAAAATCAGCTACATTATCCACATGTTGTGCCGTATTTATTCACACCCATACATTATCACTTCTAAAAACAAGTAATTCAAATCATGTCTCTGATCTACACACAGTTGCTGTTTCAAGGGAGTGATATAGCAGAGGCTTCAGCAGTTCTTCAAAGTACAAAGTAATAAGTATCACTATAAAATCTGTGTGATATAAACCCAGAGAAATTATAGTCCAGGGGGGACCGGGAAGAAGTAGGATTCGGAAGGCATTCTTCTTATTTTTATTTTTATTTTATTTAATTAATTAATTAGTTTCAGGTGTACAAAACAATACACTAATTATACTTTTCACCCCTCACAAAATAACAACCCCCCTCCCCCAATCTACCTGCCCCCTAATATCATACATATCTATTACAATTCCATTGACTCCACTCCCACACTGTACTCAACATCCCGTGACCATATATATATATATATATATATATATATATATATATATATATATATTAAATTATAGTTGACATACAATACTACGCAACGTCAGCTTCAGGTGTACAGCACAGTGGTCAAGCCTCTACACTATCCATGACATGGTCTCCCTAACAAGACATGTGACCATCTGACACCCTACAAAATATTTACAACATTAATTATATTCCCCAAACTGTCTTTCATATCCCTGTGACAATATTGTAGTTACCAGTTTATGCTGTCTAATCCCTTCCCTTTCTCCCTCATCCCCACCCCCTCCCAACTAGCAACCATCAGTTTTTCCTCTACATCTCTGAGACTATTTCTGTTTACTTTGCTCATTTATTCAGTTTTTTAGATTCCACATATAAGTGAGATCATATGGTATTTGTCTTTCTCTGACTGACTTATTTCACTTAACATAATAGTCTCTAGGTCCATCCATATCGTTGCAAATGGTACAATTTCCTTCTTCTTTATAGCTGAGCAATACTCCATCGTATAAATGTACCACAGTTTCTGAATCTAGTCATCTACTGATGGGCATTTCTATTGTTTCCAAGTCTTAGCTATTGTAAATAGTGCTGCAATAAACATAGGGGTGCATATATTTTTTTGAATTAATGTCTTGGGTTTCTCTGGATAGATACCCAAGAATGGAATTGCTGGGTCATACAGTGGTTCCATTTCCAGTTTTTTGAGATACCTCCATACTGATTTCCGTAATGGCTGCACCAATCTGCAGTCCCATCAACAGTGCACCAGGGTTCCCTTTCCCCCACAACCTCGCCAGCATTTGTTGTTCATTGATTTATTGATGATAGCCATTCTGCCCAGAGTGAAGTGGTATCTCATTGTGGTTTTTATTTGTATTTCTCTAATGATTAGAAAAATGAGGTTGAACATTTTTTCATATGCCTGTTGGCCATCTGTATGTCCTCTTTAGAGAAACGCCTCTTCATATCCTCTGCCTATTTTTTTAATTGGGTTGTTTGTTTTTATGATGTTGAGTTGAATGAGTGTTTTATACATTTTGAGTATTAACCCCTTATCAGATATATCTTTGGCAAATATCTTCTCCCATTCAGTAGGCTGCCTTTTTGTTTTATTGATGGTTTCCTTTGCTGTGAAAAAACTTTTAAGTTTGATGTAGTCCCATATGTTTATTTTTTATTTGACTTCCCTTGCCTGAGGAGCTACAGCAGTAAAAATATTACTCAGGGTAATGTTTGCAAATTCACTCCCTTTATTTTCTTCTAAGAGTTTTATGGTTTCGGGTCTTACATTTAAGTTTTAATCCATTTTGAATTTGTTCTCGTATATGGCGTAAGGAGGTGGTCCAGTTTCTGGGTTTTGGTGTTTTTTTTTTTGCATGTGTCAGTCCAATTTTCCCAGCACCATTTATTAAATAGACTATCTTTACCCCAATGTAAATTCTTGCTACGGAAGTCATACTTGAAGAACATGATGTCCAAGATAAACAAAGCCTGGACAGTAGTTAAAAGCAATGAAACAAATTTTATTGCAACAGGGAAGAGAGTTCAGCACAAATCAACATTATCTTCCATCTGTGCAGAGGTGACGGGACATTTTCAAGGGTGAATGCAAGACTATAAGGAAGGGGAACAAGTGGGGGCTGAGGCAGAGCTGGGGAAGTGGAAATCTACAAAAAGGGGGTAAAGCGTTGTTCAGTGTGATCAGATGTGGTACCTGGCGCTTATCCCAGTTAGGCTTTTGCCCTCCCACAAAGGCTGGAGACAAGGGTCCTAGCTTCAGGCGCTGGTTGCAGCAAACAGTAAATTCTTCCCCCACCTCGAGCTTGCCCAGAACTTAAGGTGGGCTGTGGTCATCCCAGGAACCTTGAGCTGTTAGAAATTATGCTAGTGTTGTTCAAGTTTCCTAGTGTGGAGGGTCTGCATCCTTATTGGCCACGCTTGAGGCTTCATCAAGAAGAGAGCTCAGAGGAGCCTGAGTTTGATCAAGAAGAGAGTCTTAGGCATATGGCCGCAGGGATAGAAAAAGACAGTCCGAGGAATACAATCAATAATGTTGTAAGTATTTCTTAGGGGGCCAGATGGACCCATGTCCTTTTTAGGGAGTCCACTTCATAGTTGATGTAGAGGCCTGACCACCGCATTGTATTCCTGAAACTGATGTTGAATAATACTGTATGTCAACTATAATTATATATGCATATAACCTTGAGACATGGAGTAGAGTGCGGGAACGGATTCAATGGAATTGTAATAGATAAGCATGATATCCGGGGTGGGAGGGCAGTGGATGGGGGGAGGGGGGTTGTTACTTTGTGAGGGTGAAAAGGGTAACTATTGCATTGTTCTGTACACCTGAAACTAACAATAAAAATAATAATAAAATAAAATAAAATAAAAAGAAAGAAAGAAAGAAAGAAAGAAAGAAAGAAAGAAAGAAAGAAAGAAAGAAAGAAGAGGGTCTTAGGCATCAGGAAGCTTGCCAGAGCAGCCCTGCAGCTCAGTGTCCCAACACAACCGTCATATATGGCTTCTGCTAACATGGGAACTAGGCGACTGGTGTAACTCTAACAGACACTGAAGTTATCTCCACAACATCCAGGCTACCCTCCCTTTAGGTATAGCATCCATATAATTTGAGTGTGTTTGAACGCATTCTTGGCTTGTAGGGGCAGGGGTGATGGGGGGTTGATGGGTCTGAGCTGAGCAGGATAGTTCCCTCTCTCCCATTGGTTCTGGGGCCCCAGGTCTTAGCCAGTCAGCACACGCCATTCCCGTAGCCACCTGGGTTCACAGGTGTGGGCCAGTTCATGAGAAGCTCAACGCTGATGCTCGATGACGGTGAGAAGTCATCCACTCCCTTTTCCGGAGCCATGTGGCCCAGCTCTAAGTGTCAGCCATCCCCCTAGAGTGAGAGAAAGCAGCTAAAGATGAACTGATACACTGAGGAAGACAAAGTGGGGAGGAATATTTGGGGCTAGAGCCTGACCTCTGATCAAACAGTTAAGCCTGCTCTGCCCCTAGCCGATCAATGTCCCTTTTGGTTTAAGATAGTCTGGGTTTGCTTTTCTATTATTTGCAACTAAAAGCATCCCAATAGAATTACAAATTTTAATATGACCTTTTGAAAAACCAACAGTACAAACACAATCAGAGGACAAACTTCATTTGTTCTCAAAGGAGAACTCGATAAGTACATAAATGTTTTGCAATTTAATGGTTTGGTGTTTCATACACAAGAACAGGGACATTTTCAAACCTATTATCCCATGGTGAAGGGAGGCAGGTAAGTGGAGGCCTAGGTATGACCACAGATACCACCCTTTGTACTCAGTGTCTTTGTTCACTGGGTACCTTTTATTATCCCAGCAAGAATTGGTCGCTCCTAAATATATGTTAAAATAAAATTAGTTCGTGAATAATGACCCCTTTTAAATTCATGTACCATAGTGATGTCAATTTATTTGAACAGTTGGCTTAGAAAGCCACTGTATTGAACTAAATACGTTAACAGGAAAGCAAGCGCCTTTTATACCCTTGGGCCCCCTACACTCTCATCCATTAGCCTCTAATTGAACAACAAAGGTTCCCTAGAAATGCCTCAGTTAGACATCATTACTAAGCATTTTACCATAGTTTGCTAGATTCATATGACTAATTATACAACCTACTGCAATGAGTCAAGACTTTGGTGAAACAGTTGAAATGAGGTGTACAAATCCCTTTGTAAATTACTTTAAACCAAAGCAAGTTCATCCCTTATCAATAGACTCGATTACTCTGAATGTCAGTATCTCTTTTCCTCATAGTCATAGCATGCTCTACAAGGAGAATGGGTGATCCGTAACTCTTGGGAATTAAGTCTCTAAAACCAAGTTGGATCTATTCTCAGCTTTACAGCAACAAGTATTTGAGCTAGGTTAGGATACTATTGTATATATCATATTAGGGCTTCTCCTGGTGTAGTTTAGAAAAGGGATATGAGGAAAAGGCTATAAAATATACCTCACATGGTTGATAACCATTCAGGTCTACAAGGATGGGAAGGGAAGACATCGTGGTTTTAAAGGTGGGCTCTAAGGATAAATCACCAGGGTTTAGATCCTGGCCCTTATCCTTCTTAGTTGTATAACCTTAGGGAAAGTATTTGATCCTTTGAAGCCTCGTTTTCCCATTCTGTAAAATGGGAACAATAATAGTACCCATCACATGATGCTGTTTTGAGAACTCAATGCTTATAAATTGCTCAGCCACAATACTTATTAATGGTCAATAAAAGTTAGCTATGGTTTTACAGAGAAGAAATGATAGTCTAATGTAAAAACTGAACATTAATATAAATACATTTATACTTTTATTTACTCTTACTGAAGTCTTAGTAGCATCTCAGAAAAAGGTCTCAGGATATTTCTGAGATTTTGAAGTCTGATTTAAGGCTTGTCTTTCAACAGGGGGCTTGATTAGGAATGGGCAAAGACCAAGGTATAATTATAAGTTCAGGATTGATGATTATGGCAATGCAAGTGTTTCCAGGCAAGGGGTTCAAATAGTCTTGGGGTATAAACTATTGTTTGATGTTTCCTAAGGAGAGTCAATGGGTCTTTCCTGAAATTCCTGAAATGTGCAATGAGGTTACTACAACTTTTCTTTTCCTGAAGGAGGAATAGCAAAATTACGTTAATAAACAGATTGGAATAATAAAGTCACACTAATGTGGACAATAAGCTGTTTGAATTTCTCTTTTCAATATAAAGTAAAATACTGGTCAACCCCAAATTTATTGCCATAGAAAATTTTCTACCATAGATGTTTGCAGCAAATCTCAATTCCAAAATTTATTTTGTAAAAAGTGCTGCTAAATATCTTTGTATTCATGTAGTACTTCCGATCTCTACATAGAAGAAAAGGAACCATGAAGGAAAAAAGTTGGCCTTAGATTACAATTTCTCTACAGAATTAAAGAAGCAAGTTACCACACTGAACAACAAAGCCATCAAGGGGCCAGTTGGCTTATGGAGGTTCTTGAGGTTTCACTTGGGGTCACACTACTGAAGTCTTTTTCTTTTTTGCAGGGGGAGGGAGTGGAAGAGTCAAAGAAGAAGAGCATTAAAGAGCAAGGCAACCATTCTTTCTCATTACCCATCTTTGATTCCACCATATTTTCTCGGTAGGTGAGCACCCTCTCAGTTTCTCATTCCTCCTTATTTGTTTTATATTCTATAGATCAATAGCACAATCACTCTCCTTGCTAACACATCGGATCTCTTGCCCTTTCTTTCTAGGTCCCACTTGCCTTGCAAAACGCCATCCATTGACGCACCTGGCTATTGCAAACCTGGAGTCATGTCCACTTATACTTGACCACGCAAAATTCTTGGTTACTTTTGATAGCCAACAGAAGTATGAAAAGTGTGAAGAGGGTGAGAGTTGGCTACTTCCTCACAATCCACCAGTTGGTTCTAATGAAATCAAGTTACAGATCAACTACCACGGCACATACAGACATTCGGTGTACAGTCCTTTATCAACACGCAGGTGAAAAAGGTTCTGTAAATTTAGCTCTCTGACCTTGTAGAGATCTGTCTACATCCTGCATTAAACTAACCAGAAGCAGATACGACTCTGCAGAAACAGGGTTCTGTTACCCTTACATTTGTCATCAGACAATCGGAAAACCTTTGACCAATGTCTAGACCCAGGTCCATTTAGGGGAATACTTCACTCCTGTGAGTACAAGGAACAACTCCAAAATAGTTTAGGCCACCCACATATCTTGAATACCACTGACAGCCCATTTCCAACAGTTTGGTAAATTCATTAACCTCTAATGTAGCAAAATAAAAATGCATTGATAACATTCATTATGTTAATGAGAGAAAGAGCCTGGTATTGATCAGGGATAAAAAGAACTAAATTTTTTGAAGTAAATGCCTCTGAAATGTGGCCTTCAGACACCCTGAAAGATAAATTTGTAAGATGTCAACTGACTGCCTTCCCAGAGCAGACTTTCTCAAGCTTTTTAATCTGGAAAAACCCTTTAAATGATTTTCAGGATACAGAAATTTAAAGAACTATGATATATGTAACATATAGTATTTGCAGGTGGAAATGTGTTTTCCTTGTTTAAAATAAACAAAAAAGTGATTTTTCAACCAATCTTTGCTAGAAAAAAGCAAAAACAGGTAGTTAAACTTCGTCTGCCTTTCTCAAAATTAAGCTCTTCGTTTCCCTTAAAAAATTTTAAACACTTATAAAGCAAATATAATGCATTTCTGGTAAGTAACTAGCTTAAGCCAAAATGGAATTTCACTTTTCTAAATTAAGCTCAATAGAGTTAATTCAAAGAAAGATTATGAACTTACTTTCATTAATGTTATTTACAGCATGAAATTTTGCTTACAAACAGTAAATAGCGAGGCTTCCAAAATCACAAGCGAAGAAACAACAGTTGAATATGCAGCAGAGTCAGTCCACTCTTGTTTACTCAGCAGCCGCACATCCTGTTATTTCGACTTATAAACTCTGAACCCTATCTGCTCTCTCACCTCAATCCCCAACTCGCAGTGCTGTGGCCATTCTAACTTTCACATCCTTAAACGCACAAACGAAATTCTTGCCTTAGGATCCTCACACTTTGCTGGGACCACTCCCTACCCCCACACCAGTTTTTTGCCTCACTAGTTCATGCTTATCTCTAAGTCTTCCCTGAATTAACTCTTCCCCAAGTGGGCTTCCTTTTTTTTTTTAAGATTTTTATTGGGGAATTGGGGGATGGGAACAGCGCTGGGGAATTGGGGGAGGGGAACAGACAAGTTGCTGTCCTTTTGTTCTTCAGTCTAGTTGTGGAGGACATCGCTTCACTGGCCCAAGTTGGCACCATCATTGCGTTCTTCCAGGTGAGGCAGATCAGTTGCCGGCTTCTGGACGGCCGCTCACGCTGGCTGCTGGCCGCTCACGCTGGCTGCTGGCTACACACGGTAGCCCATGGCAACCCACTGCCACAGGCGCTGCAGCCTACGCTGTCCCCGGCAACTCACAGCAGCCCAGCTCCAGGTTGAGCTGTTGTTCAGCGTCTTAGCTGTGGAGGGCAGTGTCACTGTCCCTCATATGTGGGATCCGAACCGGGGCCCTCTGGCATCCCAAGCCAGTTCTTAACCAACGCGCTACTCAGCCGGCCCGCAAATGGGCTTCCTTAGCCGTGCAACCAAAACAGCAACTTCCCCTGGTTCAGAGCACCCTGTTCTTTTCCCTCATTGCACTTCTGGTAGATATTTATCATATGCTTATTCGTGTGCCTATCTGTTTTATGCCCATCTCCATTTGTAGAATGTAACCTGCTCAATTACTTTGTTCATCATTTCATATATAACACCTAGCACAGCTCCGAACATTTCATAAATGTGGGTTAAAAGGATGCAGTACTGAATCAACTCACTGTGTTGGCAGGAGAGTCATATTCACCCACAAAAGAATTCATTCTGGGTTGGGAGGTGTTGGGTCAGTGAATGTGGAAAGCCTAAGGAGAAGGATAGCTTTCGTACCTTCATGGCAAGCACAGTGTACCAACACCGGAGTTGCATTATAAAAGAATTTTAAAAACAGACCTATAATCATCTGGGGGAAAACCCCTAGAAAGTGGATATTTGCAAGAACTGGAAAATAGGTAAAGTAAATCCAGATTATGAAGACTGCCAGAGAAGCCCAGGATACATAGCTGTTTTGTTTCCCCTGAGAGCCGGGCAAAAAGGGTTGGCCTTTGTTGCAGTAGCAGTCTAGTTTAGCCACTAGGGAAGATATTCCAACAAAAGCTACGTGCCATTGAAATAGATTCACCAGGAGGC